GAGTGGTCAGACACTGGAATAGACTGCCTAGGGAGGTGGTTGAGTTGCCATCCCTGGATGTGTTCAAGTGTCGTTTAGATGGGGTGTTGGGTGACATGGTTTAGGGGTGAACTTGTAGTGTAGGGTCAATGGTTGGACTCGATGATCCCAAGGGTCTTTTCCAACCTGAATTGTTCTATGATTCTATAAGTATGCAAGTACGTCAGTAATAAATGTCCATAAAATTATTTTTGTTTCTAACATACCTGTAATATTGTAGAAAATGCCTTCATCATAATCCTTGCCTTCATCTTTTGCATTGATATCTAGTACCAGTGTGCCAGCTGTGGAGTTGTCTGGAAGGATCTGGTAATATGAGGGTTTGTCAAATATGGGTGCTTCTTCATTAACATCCTCCACAGTAACTAAAAAAAAGAAGGTCCATGTCTGAGTGTAAACATGCGTTTCACCTAAAGGGTTACAAGCTATTTCTTCAGTTAATACAAACCAGCACAGCTCCTCAGAATTGAGTTGGAGCTCTTTCAATTTAATGCAGATGGCAATCTTGTTTTCTGTACTTGAAAACTCTTGCCTTCGTGGATTAAATTTTTTACTGCTTGAGCAATAGTCTCCCACAATGGCTGTGCATTGGGCTAGCGTGCTGTCGCTACTATCTGTCATAAATAATATCATCTCATTGTTTTGCTGGGCTCCCTTCTGTGTCTGTATTCATCTGGTATCTCTAGTTCTTGGCTTAGATTGCAAGCATTGTAAGACAGGCTCGCATTGGTTTGTAGTTGTACGTGACCTGGCACAATAGGGTCACGGTCCACAATTTGTGAAGCTGGCTATACCGTAATAGAAATACCACAGGACAAGAAGTAATAAATAAACCAATACTTCCAGACATATTGATCTGAAGTAGGACTAGCCAAAAAATAAGATACTCATTTCACAGAAATCTTTCATGCTGTGTTGGGGGGAAAAAAAAAAATAAATATATATTTTACGATTTTTAAAGGAGAAAAAGCCAACAGCAAGGAAGTACTATTATTTTAACAACCCTAAAAGCAGGTTTTATGTAAAAAACAAGAAAAAGGACTGAATTATATTTTCTGAAACATTTTTAATCAAAACATCAATAGGTACTCAAAGTAAAATTGGTGAATACATTGAAGCAAGTAATGTTAGTTTGTGTGAAAAAAAAATCTTCATTTTTAACAAGCCAAATATTTTTTGAGAAAAAAAATTATCTGGCTATACGGAAGAGACCACCTCATCTTTTCTGATAATTTACTTTAGAAGACTGTATTACTACTGAAGGCTATCTCTATGCCTCCTAATTAGGCATGTTGAAATATTCCCTAAGGGAAATGAAGGTAAACTAGAGCAGCAAACTAGAGCTACCTGTAATGTTTGCAGTGTCCTCAAGACGTGGCTCTCCAGGATTGAAAGCTTTCAGAATAAATGTGTACTGGGATTGACTTTCATAGTCCAGAGGTTGAAGTGTTGTAATATTTCCAGAAATTTCTCCAACATGAAATGAAGAATTGTCTCCAGTTATGGTGTAATGGATAATGGCATTGTACCCTATATCTTTGTCTGTGGCTGCCGCACTCAGAATCTAAATCAGAAAGTGCAAAAACATAAACAGTAACAGACAAATGATGAACCACAAACCCATCAGGTCTAGAGCAGAATGAAGAGAGTGGCGATTTGGAATTTACAAAGAGAGCTTTAGGAAGGGTCAGTGGGATTAGGCACTCCACGGTCATACAAAGTGAACACACTGTGTGATTTTTACAGACTCTACCAAGTAAAAAAAGAAAAGAAGAATAAATATTCACCAGCGTGCAGTCATCAGAGTTCACTACCGCTTCCAAGTTTACATAAAGAAAACAACAACAACTGCAGAACAGCTTATTTGTTCTTAATGCCACATACCACGTGTGGAGGCTCGTTCTCTTTCACGATCACGGAGTACGATTGCTGGGGGAACACTGGTGGGTTGTCATTCGCATCCTCCACAGTGATGCTTAGAACTAAGCTTGCAGATAGAGAGGGTTTGCCAGAATCTGTGGCCTGCAAAGAAAGAACTTGTCATTAAATGCAGCACTACATTGATACAAACTTATTTTAACAGTTTGATTTTGTTCCAAAAGTTGGGAAACTTGGCCTCAGGAAGACTTTCTGCTGGACCAGTTACCACCTAATGGCATTGCTCTAGCCCTGGACCCAATTTGGTGTTGCATGCCTTTTGCCCGCTGGTATCCTCGCTGTATCACATGCTCTGCCTCATTTAATGAACAATTAATCAAAAGCTCAAGCCTGGATCCAGACCAAATGCATCATGTGATCTGACGTGGCAGTAATCAACATAAACCCACGGCATATAGATGCATATCCGATGCGGCGTTTAACGGAGTAAGGAAACCCCTTGCATTCTGAGGGGTTGAAATATCTACAAAGCGAGCTGTGAAGAGCAGCTCATGTGCAGCAAATCCACAGTCAGTTTTACATTGCACAAACATCTGCCATAGAAGAGTCCTAATCTATAAGTACATATGCAAAATTTTCAATTAGCCTTAAAAAAAGTGTCCACTTTTACTAATTCTAAAATTTTCAGAAAACAGTTTGACTCTTAGTATGTTTCCTCACTGTCCTGAATACATTCCACAAGCTCCCTGACCTGTGAAATGATTTGTTAGCGGTAAAGAGCTCTTTAAAATACATCTGTACAGGATGATCAGTGCTGGAACATTTCTTTTTGTGTGCACAATTAACAGCAGTAAAAATCAATGACATCAGTTAGAATGAATAGATACCCACATGAATGTTGGATGAAACTTTATGCTTTCACGTTTTCTTTAAACTTGGAAATCCGTATCTTAGTTATTTAAAAAATGTTAAGTACATGCATTTTGAAAAAACTATAATGTGATTATAACCTTTAAGATCTGATATTCACTGGTCATTCACCAACACCAGTTTACACAGCAGGAAACAAAGCTCTGGGTGCAAAACACAACAAATTCATTAATGAATTCTAGTGGTAATCACAAAGATTAAATGATTTTATTGTGATGTTTTGCTATTTTTTCTTTATGTTGAGAAATCTGTGAACTTACTATTATTTTCAATTCGTAACTGTCCATCATCTCTCTGTCTAAGGATTTTGTTGTCATCAGCTTGCCCGTAGAACTGTTAATATGGAAAATGCCAGCAAAATCATCTTGCAGAGAGTAGCTTATAAGTGCATTAACTCCTGCATCCAGGTCAGTAGCAGAAAATACACCCAAGTCTAAACCAGCTGCATTCTCAGGAGCTGATAATTTAGTTTGGATCCATGTTGGAAAAACTGGAGGATTGTCGTTGATATCATCAACGCTCACAGTTATCTGAATTTACGAAAAAAAGAAAAGATACATATATTTGAGCTATGGAAACAGTATTCAAAGAAAAATTTCGATTCATTTTAGTCTATGGAAGACTATAGGGAAAAAAAAACCCTAAACACAGAAACCACGTCCCCAAAACCCCCAAAGGGATAAAGAGTCATTCCAGTATTTTTCAGCATTTGAGCATTTTCACAAGTTTATTTTTATTTTTATCTTTTTTCCCCTCTAACTGCTACCAATGACATAACATGCACTTTAACTGGAATAGATGAGGATTAATGGGGGCTTTTCGGCTCATCTCGCTCACACATTTCAGAGAACTAGGCACAAAATCAAGTTTCAGTGTCATCCTGTTTCTCTGGTTCACAGAGGATTACTCAGGAAGTGATACAATTTGTGAAGTTGACAGTATCTCCTTGGGGAGAAAAAAAGGAAATTTAATAAAAGGCTCTCAAAATCTTCATGCTTGTGTAACAGATAACACTTACCTGGATATTGCTTGATTTTTTAATTATTTTATATTACTTCTGAAAAAAATTATTTTAAAATGCAGTATACTGTACCAAAGCAATAGCTGTATTGGCTGGCACCACAGAATCAACAGCTTCTACAACGATGCTGTACAGGTCGCGGTCCTCTCGATCTAGGCTGGTGAGAGTCACAATGTCTCCTTGGTCGTTGGCTGAGAACTTGTCCCTATGAGATTTCAGCGAGTACGTGACTTGCGCAGCCACGCTGCCTGTCAGAGCCTTCACAGAGCCAACAGCAGTCCCCGGCGAGCTCTCTTCTAGAATGCTGAACTCATAGCTGGAGCTAGTGAAAATCAGGCTGAAGCTAGTGTCATTTACCAGCAAGTAAAGGGTAACAGAGGCTAAGGAGAAAAAACAAAATAAAATAGTGAAGCTGGTGCTAAAATGTTCGTGATCGGTGCTCTACTTCCCTACATTTATGAGGAACTAATAGAAAATGACTGAAACCAGCACATAGGAAAGAGGAATGACAAATGAAAGAAAGTATCAATAGTAATAAAGATTAATACACAACTCATAAAACACGATGGCTTTTATACCTAACTAATGTTCCAGAATAACTCCACTTCACTGATCAGTGTTTCAATGTGATAGGAAATCAAATATCACCGATTTGAAGTTAAGGCAACAGGCAGGTGTTCTCCGCTCCCTAAAATCTTACACTAAGTTGCTTTGTAACAAAAGAGAAGTGATATACATAAAGCCATATCAGTGCAAATTCTGTCGTGGTCACTCATTCTGTTCTGAGAAAATCAGTTGTTGCTCCTGTTCATGATAACTCAAAGTTAACTCCTAAAAATACACGAAAAAAGTTACACAAAATACCATGTGACTGGATACTTTTTGAAAGGGTGGAAGCTTGTTTGAGTGTTATTGACCTGTTTCTAATTCTAAGAAAATAATGGAAAACTCAAAGAGAAACACATGTCAATATTATCAATAGCCTTTTGGAGAGGCTATTGCTATAAAGCACTGGGGTTTGTACCATAAGCACCACTGTAAGAAATACAAAAAATGCATTCCTAACCAGGGTTACTAAATCAAGTTTTCTGTAAATATCATCAGCTCAGAGGAAATCAAAGGCTAAGAAACAAATATTCATCATTGCTGAAATGTAAAATGGATTCTAACCCTAACTCAATTTAATTCGACAGCAATGGGATTAATTTCAGATTTCAGTGTTTGCAAAGGGGACATTTATGTGGGGGGAAAAAAAAGAAAAAAAAGAAAAGAAGGTGAAAAGACATCATTTACCATCTGATGTAAGCTGAGGATCTCCATGATCAGTAGCAGTAACTATCAGCGTAACAACTGTGTCAGCTGTGATGTGGTTCAAGTTACTGCTGAGGGTGATTTCTCCGGTGCTGTCATTTATACGGAAAACATCAGAATGGTTCTTGAGGCTGATTAAAGAGAAATGAGCATAACATTCATATTAATGACCTTGGAAGTACCATCTACTTACTTCTGTAACAAGCACTTAATTGGCAATATTTGCCTATTTATAATGAATGGCTAAGCAACAGGTTTTAATTGCTGTGTCATTAGCCTAAGTATATTGGTCTTTTTACTTCCAAGTACCTCTTCCACCATGGAAAAAAATGGCATTCGTGCCTCCAGTTTGCATTATACCCCAAGCCTTTGATCCTTCCACAAACTGAAGGCAGACACTGCACACTCAGCTGCATATGCAGCAAGTCCAGGTGACATTTGGTCCCCATGTGTTGCCTGGTCTAGTCAAGAGGTGGCATCCCTGCCCATGACAGGGAGGTTGGACTAGATGATCTCTAAGGTCCCTTCCAGCCTAGGCCATTCCATGATTCTATGATTCACCTGAAGACTGCAGACCTGCTAATTCCTAGTGTTCCGCAAATTCTTGCAGGTGACAGGATTGCTCATAGGAGAAAGTAATGTGTTTAAGGTCGAATGCCATCTCAGTTAAAAATACTCTCTTTGAAGCCACTAGTTTTAAACACCCACAGTTTCCTGACTCATTCATCTGTCCTTCTTAATCTATAGTTTTCATGTCTATGTATCCTTATATTTTCCATGATACAGGGCTCATATAAAAGGAAAAATCTTTCTCCAATGATTTTTTTTATGCATAGTGTGTTATGAAAGTTTGCATTTCTTGATCTCCTCCTCTCAGCAAACAGAAGATGTGTGAGAACACAGTCATTCTCAGAGATTCATGTACTTCCTACTCAAAGTTCAACGTATTACTCAGCATGAGCAAATCTTGGCTTTCGGTTCTCATTGCCAAGTATATCGTTTGATTACATTCTTTCTTGTGACATAATCATGATCTAATAAGCTCCAATATGCACAGCGATGACTGTCCTTTTGCCTAAGTTTCAAAATCCGTACTAATCATAGCGCTTGTAAAATACCTGTGAACCAGTCTTATCTTCTCATGACCAATAAAATTCTCTGGGAGAAAAAAATTATTAACCTCACAAAAGTTCACCTGTATGAAATGACAGCATTGCTCCCAACGTCAAGGTCGGTGGCAGACACAGATAGTACAGACACTCCTTCTGCTGCTGTTGCTACACGTACAGTGGCCGAGTATTTTGCTTTCGTAAACTGAGGAGGGTTATCATTCACATCGAACACATGAATGCTGACACGTGTGAAATTCTGGTGCGTGACAGGAGAAAACCATATTGAGAAAATGCACAGAAACTTAAATTTATGAATAAAGGAAGATGCAAAAAAGAGTAATCTGCTCCTCTCTATTACCTGCCTTCGAGGTACTCCGTTATCAGATGCCACCAGCAGCAGCTCATACTTGTCTTTAGTTTCTCGATCCACAGAGCCATTAACCCAAACGGTTCCATCCTGGAGAAGGTAATACGGTTCAGCGTACAGATTATTTGGATAACTCTTGTACACTGAATTCTCAGAAGAGATGTTCTCCCTTGGACAAATACACTTAAGATTCCTAGCAACATCTGACCAGTATGTCTTAGTTTTTGGATATTGACCTGTATTTCTGAACTACAGAGCATGTGCTGGTTAGAACGGTTACTACCTACTCTTCTTATCTGATGTATCTTACTATGTCAAGTAACTTCATGAAATAGTGTGTTTGACACATCCAAACCTTTACCTGTTGGATGCTGTATGGATTATCCCCATCGTAAGCTGATAAGTAATAACTGATCTGTGCATTCTCTCCCTCATCCAAATCAGTAGCAGTCACGCGTGCAAATTGAGCACTTGACATGTAATCTCCTTCCCAAATTGCAAAACGGTATGATTGCCTCTGAAACTCAGGGTTATTATCATTGACATCCAGAACAGTGATGTGGAACAAGGCACTTGAATTAAGCCCATTTGTTTCAGCATCAACTGCCCATACCTGCCAAAGAAACAAACAAAAATGGAATTTTAGTTGACTGTGTTGCCATTTTAACCGTCTGATGAAGATAAAATAAAAGGGTTCCTGGGAATGAAGTAGAAAGGAGCTGCAGAGTCTGTCCTCAAACTTACTTGAAAGGTGAATTCGGATGTAGTCTCCCTGTCCAGTTCTGTGTCATTCCTTAATGAAAGTATTCCAGGGATATCCACAGTAAATAAATTACTGTTATGAACAAAGTGTCCCTGAGAAAAGCCAGCCTAAAAACAAAACATTGTTCATTTAAGATTAAAACAATGACTAGTTAAGTTAAAAAATAAATAACCTTAATACCTGGCATTTATATGGGACTTCTCATCACAGAAGCACAAGTGCTTTGCAAGGTTTAATAAATGGAATCTTGCACCCTGAGCTATGGCAGTAATGGATTTCTTGGGCAGAAGACAGATACTGGGGTAGGTGGAAGCCCTGCAGGATTCCCTATTTGGGTCTTACAGATCCCCTCCCCCTAAAGTTACAACCAATCCCTGTGATGCCAGGAGCAGCAACACTCTTTGGTGGAGTCTGAACTGGGAGAAGCATTTATGCTTCTACAAAACTGACGTGAGCAAGAATACTACAGCAAATCAGAAATCTCTTCCTCCAAACCAGCTCCCCAGTGCAATGGCAACATATGGTGTGTCTTTATAAAACAAGATGAGAAAGAAACAACTTTGTATAAAGCAGAGTGAAATATTTCAAATAAGAAGAAACTATCAGCTTTACGAATTGCCTTTCTCCCCAAGAAAGCTGATAGTAAGGGCAGGTTGACTGCAGTACAGAAACGTACTAACAAATATACTCAGATAGAAGGACGTTACCAAGCAGTATTAAACCAGAACTGATTATTTTGACATAATAAGCAATAACAAAAAAGTTCAAAAAAAGTTAAAATTTCTATCCGGTGAGACATACATGCATTCATCTCGTATGCATGTGCACAGAAACAAGCAACTTTTTCTGTCCTGTGTTATATATGCACAAGGAGAGAAGCTCTCTTTATTTTCTCTGATACAGCCAATAGACTATTTCATACAAGGTCTTAACTTCATTGGTTTCGGAAATGTTATTGCTGGCTCCATAGAAACCAAGATGAAGTTTTTTTGTAACCCAAAATGTACTTATTGCCAACCATTTAAGAAATCTCTTTGCCCATCTACTACTGTGGGGTTTTGCAGATTAATAGACTAATGTCATTTTGATTTAACAGGATGAGAATAATTTGGTACCTACCTCGTCCTTGTCAGTAACATTGAAAGTGTAGATAGGACTACCCATCTGTAGGTTTTCAAACACAAATATATCATAGATCGCCTGATTAAATTCTGGTGGGTTGTCGTTAACATCTTGTACATGCACAACAACACGTGTTTCAGTGCTGAGACTTGGTTGCCCTCCATCTGATGCCTCCACTTCTACTTCAAAACGTGTGATGGTTTCATAATCCAGCTGCTGGCTCAGGCTGAGCTGGCCCGTGGTCGAATCGACAAGAAACACCGGCGAGGGGGTCGGAGGTTGCTGGCTAACGATTCTGTACTGCACGAGGGCATTGGCCCCAGCATCCACATCGGTAGCAGATACTGTCAGCAATGCCCTTCCAAGCTCTTCGTTTTCAGAGACACTCACTTCGTACCTACTTGATGAGAAGACCGGAGAGTTGTCGTTCACGTCCTCAACGATGACTGTCAAATGGAGAGCTGCAGACAGTGCGGGTTGCCCTTGGTCACTGGCGATCACTGTTAAATTATAGAAGCCTTGTTTTTCTCTGTCCAGTTCCTTTTCCAGCAAAATTGTTCCTGCAGTGTTAATATCCATTTTTCCTTCTCCACCTTTCAGAGTATAAACCACTAATCCGTTAAAGCCCTCGTCCACATCCGTAGCTGACACCCTGGTAATATTAGCTCCAACTAACATGTTCTCTGGGATAGTAACGGTAGCACTGACTGTACCAAACACAGGCCTGTTATCATTGACATCTGTAACTCTGATAAACATGGTCGCATAGTCAGTACTGTTCCCATCCGACAAGGAAATATTTAGGATGTAATTATTCCGGGATTCATAGTCCAGTTTGGTTTTTGTCAGGATGGTTCCATTGACATCGATGTCAAACGTCTCAGATTCTGTCAGTACTTGAAACGTAACTGGTATGTGGGGATTTAAAGCCTCATATTCTACCTGTGTAAGATACAGCATGTTATCCATAAACGAATTACAACTAATAAATTCCCACCTAAAAAAGAATAATGGTTTTAACTATGTTCAAATTCATTTTACTAATTTTATTCATTAAAAGAAGTAAAAATCAAGCTGCAATATACATAAAAATGCAGCTGGAGAGGACTGCCTATTATTGGAACATCACTTATACAGAAAGGTGAATATGTATAATATGTAATAAAAATACACTTTGCTTTAACCTTTGTTTCTCCCTTTATATGAAAAAAAGAGTGAAAATTAACTCAGGAATTCAATAAATCAAAACACTAAAATACATTTTCTTGCCACTGCTTTGGTGTCAGACCTCCCATCTGTCTTCAGAACTGCATCTAAGAAGGAGCCATCACAGGGCATTCTGGTGGCCTGCTTGCCTGAGCATTTTTTCGATCAAAATGAAGAGCAATTTCTACAGCCTTCTTTGAAAATGTCTTTATGGCAGTTCTCTGATGGGAAGTCTCCATTTCCTAGCTATATCACATCACAAATTTTAGATTTATCACCAACAAATGAGTGAATATTGCCTGTCCCAGCCTTTGGGCCACTGTGGCCTTTGGAGAATGTCCAAAATCCACACAGGGTTAAGTGTGAATGTTTACTTTCTGGGTTTTATTTGGTTTGGTTTGGTACAGGGTTCTTTTTCATGGATTTTAAATATTCAGTGGTAGCAGATGCTGTTTAAAGGTTTGCAATGGAAGGAACAGCCTTCGCAGGTGATAGTCTTCATCTGAGGGATGTACTCAGTGTGTAATGTGTGTGAAGCTTGATACACAGAAAAGACAACACCTAGTCATCCATAACTCCAGGACGTAGACAACTAGAGCACATATATTACAGGATTTTCTTATAGCTGTCATGCCCTATAGGAGTGATAGAATAAAGTTGTTCTTACTCTT